AAAAAATTCCCTCAGCGGTGTCTGAACTAGCCTGGACAGTTGGAATATAATAATAATTATTAATTATATTACAGAAATAATCATTAAATATTTTTTGTAAGAGTAGGGTACAAAAATAAGCTTAGTTATTGGAACAGACTGGTCAGTTGGCCCAACAGCTAACCAAATAAAATAAAATAAACCGAGAAAGGAGATACAGAGAGAGAATGGCGGTTCAAAGAGTATAAAGGAAGCAGAAACCGAAGGGTGTACCGTATTTTCCTATTCTGGAATTCCTGGATTATAAAATATGAACAAAAAAATCACTGAATTGGAGCCATCAACAAGCAGAAAGCGCCGACGAGATGAAGAATCTGAGGCCGAATTGGATAATGACGACGACGATTCACAATCTCTTTCCCTAGGTGAGTAATTCACTTTCCCTAGGCTTGGGTTTCCCAATTTCCACCCCCACCCCCACCCCCACCCCCGCAATATCTACCCACTGACAGATATATGTATGTGGTGGTACAGAGGAGAATTTCACCTTCAGCGATACTCTTATGGCGCTTCGGATGATGCGCAGTCAGTTTCCTCGTACTGAAAAGGTACCTACTAATTTTACTTTCTGATTTTTTTTTTTTTTTTTTTTTTTTAATTTTCTCAAGTGCTTTAATTTTGAATCTATTCACCTGATTGAACTCTGAGGGTTTCATTCCTTGGTACAACAACGTTTTTGGGAAGTGTTGTGGAGAAACTGATCTACTGAGTACACTGAATATGAAGTCTTTCACTTACTGAATATGAAGTAGGATTAATGGACAAATGAGAAGAATGTGGAACATGACTGCAAAATTAAACTATGTGCCGTGCTTGAGCTTGTCTCGATATACGTGTGACTGATATATTATTGGACTCAAAACATTCGGTAGTTTTCGTCTATGAAAATTGGAATTGGAATTGTAATAGTGTAATATATTCCGATCTTATTACAGTAAGAAATTTCACTTATAGATACGATGTGGCTTCAGGTTACGGTTCAACCTTTCGTTTTACGGTCGCAGTTGTACAGCAGCTTAAAGGATAGGACACAAGTGGATATGGAATTAGAGGTGAGGTTGCCTGCCTTTCCTTAAAAGCATTTACATTTTCTTCGTTTGTTGAAGTTGCGTGTTCGTATATGTCTTGCTTGTTTATTATTCGTAATAACATGCTTCTTCGGTCCAATGAAATGTAGTTCAGTATAGTTTCTGTACAGGGTTAAGTGTTAGAATAGCTGTTGCCTGAATCTACAATAATACTTGTATAGAGCAATTGCAAGGTTTGAGCCATTGGGATTATAGGATCTGTATATTACTTCTCATTTTCTGCAGTCTTTGCGAAGGGACAGGGTGTTGCGGATCTTTAAGTTAAACACGGGGCAGGACGATCATGCCGTAATGTTTATGGATGACTACATTAATCAGGTTATTCTCTTTACATGTCGTAAATCCATCTAAATCCTGATTAATTGTAGATTCCAACTATTTATTTGTAGCTATTCGTGGTTGTATCTATTTATTCGGTTATTTACGGAATTCATTGAAATTTTTCAGATCGAACGTGTTGTGAAAAGGATGGAAGATAAGAAGCAAGATGATATCAGAGTTTTCGAGTGGTTTAAGATACATGTCATACAATCCAAGCTCGACACCAGCATCGGTCATCAAGAACTTGTTAGTAAATCTATCCCTTTCTCTATTATGTTTGATTACACTGATATACTACAGTACTTTGGATTTAGATTAGTCTTTCGTTTCAGTTTTCACTTCTATCTTGGGGGGGAAAGGTTAGAGAGGAACACATCTCTCAACTAATTAATGCTGGTCTTCTTGTAAGTATACATTCAATAAATTTATTCGTATAGCGATTCCCTATTTGTTAGGTGTCCCTTTTAACATTGCAGTATTGTTCTAGATTCGGCAACTTATTGATCAAAACATGTATTGGTTTTCGATTCCAAACATTGGTTCGGTGCTCAAAGGTCTCTCACAGGTAATAATTATTACAAGACATGGATCATTAGTTAGTTATAACATCTCGAGATTTTTTTTATGTGTGTGAAAATTGCAGGGGAGGAAGGAGGTTTTGTCTTTTCTGAACCGTAGGAAATATAAGGAGATGATGTTGGTTTCTTTGGAGAAGAAACGCCTTCGACTTTCTCCGCTCGATATGAGATTTCATCTGCGAGATTTAATTGGTTCGGGCCACCTCAAAACTATTCAGACACCTAGTGGTTTGATTGTTAAGATTGCTAAAGATTAACTCCAGGTACACATTCCCTTCATTTTCCACACTCATGAAATAAAACATTCAACAAACATTTATATATATATTTATTTTTTTAAATTTTTGTTTTGATTTATTTTTTATAAATCGACACGCTAAACGGACTTGTTTCAGTCCCAAAAGGGATGTGTTTTGTTAGCAAATGCTGCCTAATTTTCTGGCCTCAAATAGTGATATAGTGAAAGATTAAAGCAAAACAATTAGTCTAAAAATGGAAATTCTTAATTGAGCTGATTACTCGTTAATTACGAATCATTTCTCGATAAGTGTTTCTCGATGATTCGTCAACAATCATTGGCCCTTTATTATTGCTTGTATTGGAGAAATGTATTATCACATCGAATTCTCTCATCTGAAGCAACGTGTGTGCCACGTGGAGCCACTTGACTGGACTGTTACTAATTTTGGACCGTCACCATTCATTTTAATTTCATCGAACTTTTGCCCCAATTTCTTTTTTCTTTTTTTGATATATATACTAGATGTATACCAGAAGTTTGAAAAATGGTAGTCATTGCTACTGTATGCTATGGATCTTAATTTCATATATATAGAAATTGCGGCTGTTGTATCTATATGCTAGCTAACTTGAAGATCACGTTTTTTATTCAATACTCAGCCACTTCACTTCTCTGTACTAAACACACACACACACACACACACACACACACACACACACACACACACACACAAGAGATGATATATGTGAGTGTGCTTAGCTGGATTATTTTTTTTATTTGTTAATTTGAATCGGGTAATAACAACTTAGGGCTAGGTGTGTATTAATGTAAAACTATAATTGTTTTAAAAAAAATATTTTTAAAGGGTATATATGTTTGGTTGGCAATCGAGTCCGAACGAACTTTAATCGAACCGAATACAATTTGTGTTCAAGTAGCTGTTTAAGAAGAAAAGAAAGGAACTGAAAAAAGAAGAAAAGAAAAGAACATTTGTGATAATGGTGAAAGAGGCCATAGTTAGGTTGAATAGAGCTGTCAATTACAGGATTTATGTTAGATAATTAAAAATTAATTTCCTAAATGCATAGAGCCATGTTCATGTTTAAAGTGACATCTGTTGGTCTTAAAGTGACACTATGAAGTTTAACATCTTAAGTGGTGTTCTACTGCTTTTTTCTATACTGCATCCGATGAAGGTTACACTATGTGGATTTTTATCGTTGATCTACGTGCACCATGTGGTGTGTTTGTGTGTATATAAAGCCCAAAGATTTGACCAGTGTATTTCACTGATATACCATATTGTAACAAATTTTACTTTGAATACCTTAATCAACTCTGGGGACACACGCTTTCTCCCAATTGTTGTAGTAAAGCGTGTTGCTGTCAAATTAATGGACACGTGTCATTGTATGAAGGCTTCCGAAACGTGTCTACGTGTTCTATTAACAACCGATCAGATAAGTACAAAAATTGTCTCCAAATTTTCATAATTACGAATCATTAATATACTGTAGTGAAATTAGGGTGAAATAAAGGAAATTAGCTTGTGAATATAGGAGGAGTAATAATTGAAATCTTTGACTCAATTCTAGTATAGTATTCGATAAATTTTGCTTTATAGATTTATACAAATAACTATCTGACTAAACATATATACACAAAAACGTATGTATTGTTATGTGTAAGATCACTCGATGTGTTTCATCACCGATCCTACCCTTGCGATGTTAGTTTTCCATTTATTTCTTTAAAATCGAAATGAAAATTCAAGGGAAAATATTTTTTTTGCAACAATTCAAGAAAATGATGAATAAAATACACATAAAATTGAATATATTATTGTATACATATTATATATATATACACTTTTCATAGTGTCCAAAATGGAAACAACCTTTGTGTCAATCATAAAAGGCCATTTTTTTTTATCTACACTTCCATTTTCTTTAATGCATATGATATATATATGATGCAACGGAAAGCAATTTATCAAAAAGAAAGAAAAAAAGAAAAAAAAAAGTTGTCACCTTTCCCATTTTGTCAAAAAGTGTGTAATGTGTGATATTTTATTCCCAAAATTGAGCATTTTCACTTTTTATTGATCTTCTACCACAAGCTTTTCATTATTATTCAAGAAACAAAAATTTATAAAAAGGGTAATGTTTGATATATAATTTATTAGAAAAATAAAAATATCATCAAAATTTAATCGGACGAACCTTGAACACTTGGTTATTAAAAATTAATTAATGAATAAATAGGTAAATAAATAAATTGTACATTGTTGTTTTTGTTTAGAGGTATATACAAATAATTCAACAACATGAACGTCACACATTCTACAATTCCTACCAAACCCTGTAGTAATTCGACACACATTCCACAAATATTACAATTAATATTCATTTATAATAACTTGAAGTGTTGTTTGGATAATTGCTGACAAATAATAATTATTTGTGTTAACATAAAACTTTCTAAATCCTAAAAAGAAACAACAAGATGAGGATAAGATCAAAACCACGAGAACCCTAATTCTGGGCTGGATTTATCAAATTTGTCAAATAGTAAAATTTAAAAAAATTAAATATTTTAAATAGGGTTTTATCTTTTGGGAAATTCTATACTTAGAGTATACGCAGTCATCATCATGCCTCATATACATATTTTCTTAAGTAGTTCATGTTTTAATTAAGACACGTAATTCAATTATACATCATAATTATACATTCTTGACAATAGAACCCCAATCATTAATACATCCAAGAACGTGGCAAAAAAAAAATAAAAAAAAATCAAGATTCGAAAGATTATACTTGTTGGCATTGGTTTATGTAATATTTTTTTTTACCCGTAGATTTGCGCACTAATCACACACGTATACATCTGAATGTGTGTAAAACGAATAGTACTCGATATTTCGGTGTAGTATAAAATAAACCGTAGAGAAATGATGAGTAGGGTCCAATTTATTTCAACCCCTATCCCCATTTATTTGAAGCCATGACTTATGGAAGTGAATAATCTGAATTGACAGTTTGAAAATGAAGAGCAAATTATTGTCCCCAAAATAATAATAATAATTAATTAAATTAATTAGTAAAAATAAAAATCAAGCCGTCACTCTTTCACCAACATCACACGCACCTAACTTTTAATAAATCACTAACCCTAGTAAAACCCTAACCCTATAATTTCTGGATCAAGCAAAATATATAAACTTCATTACAGTAATTTTATTAATTATTTCAGACTTTTATACCTTTGTAATTAGACATGTTTACAGGGAAGGTCATAAATGAAAATTTTAATAATATTAATATACAATCATTATAATATATATACCATATATATATATGAGACAACTCATTGTGTTTAAATTGTACATTGTATGACAACTATAATTTTGTCTCTGCAATTAATCTTCTCAATTCTTAACCCTAGTCCTTGCAAAAATAATTATTACAATTATGACATTGAATTCTTTTCTGTCCTCAACAATAATTAAAAAAGTATTTTTAAAATATAATTTATACCAAAATATACTAAAAATCAATGTGATTTATATCCTATACCAATTCGAAAATTTAAATTAAAAAATAATAACCTCTAAATATATTGGGTTTTCGAGGGGTTTTCGTCACTGGAATGTTCGGTATAAGAAAATATTCCAAGGGGCCCACATTTTGTTGATTGATCAAAATTATTCTAATTGACATGATGATTTTTTATACATCAGACTGGTTTAAGTTCTAGATCTATCAAATCTGTCTCTTACATAATGTATAAGAAAATAAATTTTCTTGAAAATTTATGATTTAATACACTATGTTAATAAAAAAAAAATATATGGAAAGACAAATTTACTATGGATACAAAAATGTAAATGGATAAGATCAAATTTGATGGACCATATATGGTAAAATAGTGTGCGTGTGTTATGTGTGAATATAAGTAGTAAATTTTGATTTGAAGTAGGATATATACAGATTATTTCACATGTATCCAGCTATATATACTAATAATTCACATTATTCATGAAATCAGTCCTAAATTTAATTTCCTGAGCAAAGAAAACGGACAGTAAAAAAGACCATATACATTGGATTAAGTAGAAACAACCAATATACTTCGCGCGTGTGTATATATGTGTGTGTGTGTGTGTAAAAAAGGTCAAAATACGTACAGCAGATATATATATATATATATATATATATTTTTTGAAATAGGAACACAGTTAATTAAAAGTGGTATTTTGGAGGTTAATTGGTTTTATGGGATTTGGATTTTACTCCTTTATTGCTTTCTTTTTTCCCCCACATTTACATTTCTTGTCACTTTGGTTTTTCTTCAAACTACTTTCCACTAAATATATTTTATTTTTCTTTTATCAATTATTTATATACACATAACTAACTACTAGAATAATGTAAAGAAATTCTCTATCTGATCCATATATACATACATATTTTTTATATATATATATATAAAAGCACACTACTTTCTCCTACAATCAACCTTAAAGATTACACCCCCACCCCCATAAAAGAAAAAAAAAACAGAAAAGAAGATCATATATATATATATAAATCCCTATAGTTCTTGAAAACGAAAAAAAAACAGTATTCTTCTTCTGCCGCACACAATATAAACAATTTTCGGCAAAAAACAAAAAAAATGGGATTGAGAGATATAGGAGAGACGCTGCCACCGGGTTTCAGGTTTTATCCGAGTGACGAAGAATTGGTTTGCCATTATCTTTACAAGAAAGTTTGTAATGAACAAATTCTCCGAGGTACCCTCGTCGAAATCGACCTCCATGTTTGCGAGCCATGGCAGCTCCCCGGTAGGCCCCCCTCCCACCCCCCCTCTCTATATGTATATGTATATATAATTATGAGTGATAAATGGCATGTGCATGCTGCTTCAGAATTGTACAAATATATGTCTTTATTCTAAGCAGACAACTTCTCTCAAGAGTGGATTGCTTTGCAATAATTAGTTATAAATAAACAACATTAATTTAGGTGCATGTGTTTCTGTGTGTGTTTTTCTGGCAGCAGATACACATACACACCAACAACAGATGGACAATTCAATTTTTTTTTAATTATAATATCAATGAACTGATCTATTCTAATTCTCATCATTTCATAAAAAAAAATAAAAAAAAATTCAGGCAAATTTTCATTAAAAGCGTGACCGAATTCGAAAAGGTTCTTCTCCTTTTCAAGAAAAAAAGGGTGTGGAAGCATTTTCTGTGCTTTCTTAACATTCAATGAATCATGCTGCTTTTTTATTTATTTATTTATATATTTATATCTAATAACTGCTAATTCATACCCTTTAGTTATATGATTTCATTTTCATTTTTCAGGGAAATTAAAAATATTTTATTTTTTTATTTTTTTTTTCACCTGAAATATGATTTTATAGCGCGTAATAAACGACTTTTTTCGATCGCTTTTAATATATTTTTCCCTTCTTGATCACCAAAATAAGAATAAAAAGGGGCTTAATTATACATTACTGTTTAATTTAAATTAAATTAGGAAAATATTAATTGATATCCATTGAAATTGTAGTAATTAGCTTGTAAGGTGAAGACAAAGAAGTGTGATATAGACTTCCTACCATAGAAGTAACTCTCTCATCTATGTAGAAAAGGGCTCATACACATTTCCCTCTTCTTTCATATGAATTTCTCCATATATATATATATATATATATATATATATATATATATATATATATATATATTCAAACATGCCTTTGGATTGGAGAATCTTTTTGTGACTTGTAACGAACTTTTTTGTTCATGTATGTAAGCAAACCTAATGAAGATGATGAAATGTTCATTATTATTTCAAATGTGTATATGTCATCAATATAACGCCTCGGCCCTACTACGTACGCACCCTCAAATTTCACGTTTTTTTTTATTGATTAAATTTAACATATATTTTATATAGATGTGGCGAAGTTGAACTCGAACGAATGGTACTTCTTCAGCTTCCGTGATCGGAAATACGCAACGGGATTCCGGGCTAATCGGGCCACCATCTCCGGCTACTGGAAGGCCACCGGAAAAGACCGGGCGGTGGTGGACCCAAAAACCCGGGCGGTTGTTGGAATGCGAAAGACTTTGGTTTTTTACATGAATAGAGCTCCTAATGGAATCAAAACTGGATGGATTATGCATGAATTTAGGCTTGAAAATCCACACGTGCCACCTAAGGTTTGGTTTTCTTGATTTTTTTTTAATTTTACTATATATTTTTTCTAAATTCAATTTTTTTTTTTTTTTATTATATAATTAATTTAATTTAATTTGTGACAAATTGACAGGAAGATTGGGTACTGTGCAGAGTATTCCATAAATCCAGGTCAGGTGAAAACAGCAGCAATTTGGTTGATTCCCCCACATACAATAATAATAATAATATTGAACAACAAATAATAATGCCTAACTATGGCCATCAAAACGACACCGTTTCATTCTACCATACTACTCCATATCATCATCTTCATCAACATGGACAAAACCCTAGCACATCCATAGATCCAGCTGTCTACGTACACGTGGATAATGGCGACAAAATGGTCGACGACGACGAGGCTGCTAATAATAATACTTATAAGTGTGACGTTGATAATGATTACGGGTTCTTGTTCGATTTCGACGATCCGGATAACAATGGAGATATGGGGTTCAACTGAAAAGTATATTTGGGGGCATGATTTATATTTGTTCAGTTGATTGGTATAGAAGAAGGGAAATTTGTGCAAAAACTCAATTTGAGATTAATGTAATTGTGTAGTTGTGTTAGTAGTGTGTGAATTATAGGGTTAAAGAAAAAAAAATTGTTTGATTTGTATATTTAGACATATATATTTATATTTATATATAGCATTTGTTTATTAGGTTGTGCATATACAATTGGTATGTAGTTGTAGAGGTAAGTTAATACTTTGTAGGTAAATTTATGCTAATGATTTTAATTTAATTTTTCACTATTTCTTCAATTTCCTTTACATAAACACACACTTAGTGCATATATTCAAAGATACATAAAGTGGTCCAGTAAGGGATGACGTAACGATTGACCGAAGTTTGAATCCATTTGTTAATGGTTGACCGAATTATGAATCAATTTATCAATAGCCGCTAGATCGAGCTTATCACACATGATTTGCCTATATATATAGTCCTTTGTCATTCCTTAGTTCTTAAAAAAATGGATATATTATAACCCTATAAATAATTAACACCAAAAATTGATTATTAATAATCAAATTGATTATACAATAGTACTTCTAGTGATGGGCCAAATTTTAGTAAAGGCCCAATGATAAGACATCCAATAAACGTAGGCCTAGATTTGAATGGGCTATTGCACCAACAGATATTATAAAATATTATAATTAATATTAATATTAATAATTAATTAAAATAATTAGTACTGAATTAAATAAACAAAATCAGATTTCCTCGGCAGCTCAAGTATTAATTTTAGTCCTAATTTCCCCTCGTTACCCAGAAGTTCTTATTCCCCAGCCGAAAACACGGTGCTAATTATTAATTTCTTATCACTACAAATTATTGTTCATCGGATTCAGTTTTTTTTCTATTTAATTTTTGTAAATTAAAGGCGATCTCTCGCAGTTGGTGAACTGTAACGAATTTTCAGTTTTGTTGATGGAACTTGTTTGTGCAGTTTGCTGATCGTGATTAATTGGTGAAACCGGGTTAGATCGCCGGCTTAATTTTGTGGTTCTGGTGTTTCTAATCCTGGAAGAGTTTGATTTCCGTCGAATTTCAGCGTAGTGGGGCTGGAAACGGAGGTATTATGTGGAGCATTTTCGCCGGAATTTTGCGGAATATTTTTTTAATCATTTTTGTTTTATTTTGGTTCTGTTTGTTTTTGCACAGTGATTATGAAAGTTATTGAGTTATGAAATTTTGAGTAGGTTCTGTTTGCATCCAGAATCTCAATAGGGTTTCTGGGACTCCTTTTCATAATTAACAAATTGTGGAATTTAATTTGTTTTAATCACATGTGTTAAGAGCTGTCTAAGTATTGGGAAATTTGTTTATGTGAAAGAAAAAATATATTTGAAGTTTGATTACCTTGCTTGGTTATGGATGAGTATTGAACAGATCTCTCATAATCTTTCATGTCACTTCTTGCTGCTCAGCACATATCACGATTAATGCTTTGTGTTACAATCTCTCGCCGCTGTGCTTGACGTCCTTGTGTTTCTGATTTCGGTTTTGTTTATGTTCGTTTTCTTTTGTGATGGTTAATACCTGCAGAAAAAAATTGGTTTATTGCAGATGTTTTTATGTTTATCTAATCGTTGAATGTCGAGAAAGCATGCTTTCAGCGGACAACTGAAAGAAGAGGTGAAGTGCACAATCTGATAAATAAAATCCATTTCCACTTCTATACAGAGTTGATGGGGAAAAAGCGATCCATAAAACATGTTAACTATGAAGAGAACCTCTCAGTTCCGCCTGGATTTGCGTCACTCACGGCACTGACATTGAAGAGGATGGTGGCTGTTCGGGAGTTTAAACCAGGGCTTATAGGCGCTCCTCTTAGCGACTCGGACATTCACAAGTTTAAAACCTCATTTGTGCGAAAACCGTGGATATGTCACGACCAGTTTGATAATGTTCCACCGAAGTGTGACTCTGAACAGTCCAACGTTGACATGGTCCTTCTCTTCCCTCTTCAAGTACATATTTATGAAAAGTATCTCTAAAGTTTTTTTCTAAATTCCTTCATGGTGTGACCATTTGGTTTTGAGTAATATGGCTTTATTTGTTAGTTGACGTCGCTGTTAGGTTAGCAACGGACGAAGAAATGGAGGTTTTCGGTAACTAGTAGGTTTAGCTTAGAGATCCCCGAGTGATCTGATTTTTCTCATGTAGTTTAATGTAAAAGTGAGAAATATGCTCGAGTTACATAGATGGTAGATTAGACATGTTATCACAGAACAAGTAGTTGACGCTCTTGCAAACTCCTTAGTTGCAGGTGGGATTCTGACGTATGGCTAGAATAAAAGAACAAAGCTAGGGACACGTCTAACACAGCCGTAATTCCTACAAGATGCGTCTAATGAGGTTTTATACTAATTATATGGCAAGTAAACCACCAGACATGTTCATATTGTTTCGATTTTATGACTAAAATGAGGCTTATTTGTCAATTTTAGTTGATTGGCTGAATGCCTGAATCAGTTTGCTTATGTAGTACATTATACATAGTTGAGGTGTTTTATGGAGGACTTGTATCTGGGCAACCATGCATATAGTTTCTTGTCTCGTAACATATTTTCTATCTCGCTAAGTGCTTACACTTGGTTACCTGAAAGTAATGAATGGAATTTGTTCTAGTTTCCAGTAGTCACAGTTCATGGGAAAAAAAAAAGAAAATTAGCTACTCAAGCAGTTTTGCTGTTTTTATTTGTTTGATTGCTCTTTGACATAATGGCAATGTTAGCCTCTCTGTCGAATTGGATTTTTTTTATAGTGGCTGATATTTAAGTATTTTTTTCCAGAAAGATCCACTTACTTCTTCCCTTCCCAAAGGAGTGATCCGGGGATGTGCAAATTGTCACGACTGTGTGAAGGTGATTTTTTTCCCAAATTAGTTATGAAATACAGTAAATAGCTCTTATTACTCGAGAAAGGTTTCCTTGTAAGATTTTGATATGGCCGTCTTGTAGGTCACTGCCAGGTGGCATCCCGAAGAGTCACACTTGCCTGTGCTTGATGACGCACCAGTATTTCGACCAACCGAAGAGGTATTTTTTTCTGTATAAATTTGCTGCCATCTTTTTATCGTACAATGCATTCTGTTCAGTGGGAAATGTTTTTCGCTGGTAGATTTTGGCTACCTGCATGAGCTCGAATCTTATGGCAGGAGTTCAAGGACGCTCTCAAATACATAGCCAACATACGCCCAAGAGCGGAGAATTACGGAATATGCCGCATTGTTCCACCTTCTTCGTGGGAGCCTCCATGCCGCCTTCTTGAAGATAAATCGACATGGGAAGCTTCAAAATTCAGCACTTGTGTTCAAAAAATAGATGGGCTGCAAAGTCTGTATCTGAAGAGAAAACAATCTAGGTTACACGAGAAGAGGGAAACTAAAATGCAAATAGTTGCAGCATGTGAAATTGAGTCAGCTGTTGAACGTGTGGCAGACTCTGAGGAAGCCAAATCGATTGGTTTGACCTCTGAATTTGAATATGGGCCCGAGTTCACCCTGAAAAGCTTCAAAAAGTATGCTGACGATTTCAAGATGCAGTACTTTCGCGAAGACGGCGAGTTAAATGATGCCGATCAAGATCAAGGGGAACCGCTGATTGCAAGAATTGAAGGTGAGTACTGGCGAATAATCGAGAACCCAAGTGAAGAAATAGAGGTAAAAAAGTGCATTATATAATGGTGAATAATTGGACTAAACTTCTTTGTCATCACTGTGCCTCATAATGTTAATTTGCTTCTTTAGGTGCTCTATGGTACTAATTTGGGAAGTGGAACCTTGAAAAGTGGTTTTCCCGTCACTGCAAAAAATATAGCTATATATGATAAATATGTTGATTCTGGTTGGAACTTGAATAATATTCCCAAAGTCTTTGGTTCTCTTCTTCCGTTTGGATGCTACAACATTTCTGACATTTCAGTTCCTCAATTGTTCGTTGGGATGTGCTTTGCATCTCAATGCTGGGTAAGACTTATATTTTATTGGAACCTTTTGGCTCTTTTTTAATTCTCACGCAATGTAGATTCTCATAAGACTTGTTTTTTCCTGTTTGGTTGTCGGAAAAACAGAGAGATGAAGATCACCACTTATATTCACTATCTTACTTGCACTTAGGCAACCCTAAAGTATGGTACGGTGTCCCAGGAAGGTATTACTTCAAGTTTGTGGAGGTTGTGAAAAAGCTTTTTCCGCAGCTATTGAAGAATCCCAAGTTGCTTCCTGAGCTTGTGAGTAACGTTTGTCCTTTATCAGTTTACACTTCAAGTTTTATATCGGTTTATTACTAAAATTTATTTGCTTGCTTTGTGATTTTTTTTTTTTCGTAGGTCAGACAATTCTCGCCCTCTATGCTAAAGTCCGAGGGTATACCCGTGTATCGATGTGTGCAGAATCCGTTAGAGTTTGTTGTCATCTTCCCTGAGGCTTACCATTCAGAATTTAGTTGTGGCTTTAATTGTTCGGAATCAGTGCGTTTTGCTCCCTTTGACTGGTTACCTCATGGACAGAACATAGTAGAACTGTATGCTGGATACTGTTTAAAGACTTCCATCTCCCACGACAAGCTGCTGCTTGGAGCAGCCACAGAAGCCGTGAGCGCGCAATGGAAATTTTTAGCGACAAAAAAAGATTCCTCAAACTATCAACTATGGAGAAGCGTGTTAGGCAAAAATGGGATCTTAACAAGGGTTTTTAAGGTATGAAAAAAGAATTCCTTGATACTCTCTCCGTTTCAAAATACGTGTAGTCTTGGGTTGTTGCACACATATTAAGATAACTAATAAATTTCGATTTTAGGAAAAAACATATAGGGTGACTAAAATACATATTTTATTAACTTTATTTCCATTAATTATCTCTCATCTAATTAAGAGTGACAATGGAAATTTTGAGAAAAGGTTGCATCATTGAAATTCTAAAGTAATAGATAATATGGAACAAGAAATCTTTCTCAAATTTGGAACGAGGGAGTATTTCATATACTAATTCATGTCATTTGTGGGCGGACTTTGAATTCAAGAATTTATTTGTTTTAATTTTTTTTCCCTCTGTCCATTAGTCACGTGTGGAAAATGAAGGCATAAAGAGGAAACACCTCTGCAGTGTGCCCTCATCGAATAATACATCCATGGATGTATTCGATTTTGATTCGAAAAGGGAATGCAGCATATGCTTGTACGATCTACACCTTTCTGCGGTGGGATGTTCGTGTTCCCCAAATAGATATACTTGCCTGCGCCACGCAAAGCAGCTCTGTTCTTGTGCTTGGTTTGCCAAATCTTTTTTCTTCAGGCACGAACTCACCGAGTTAAATCTCCTGGTCGAGGCTCTTGAAGGGAGTCTAGAAGCAATTCATAGCTGGGCGAAGAGGAAGAAGCTTCAACCAGATTTCATCATCGGTTCAAGAATCTCTAGTGATTCTCCGTACAAACTAAATGCGACACCTTCGAACAAAAGCCTTACACCAATTCCAGTTCAAGACGTTGTCATTCTACTTAGCGATGACGAGGAGGTACAATCTTGAGTCTGTAATTACATTTGTACCCTTGATTTAATTCGTTTGTTTGCGAAAGAATTCGAGCGAATTCGGATAACGAGAACTAATAAACGATTGGCGAATAAACAATACTCTTTGTTTTTGTTTTTTGTCTGTTTTTTTTTCTGGTACTAACCTCTGAATTTTTGTCTTGTTAACTGGATAGAAATGTTTTTGTTAGAATTATTTCGTGCAAATTAATTATATATTTGTGTCCGATGAATTCCAGATTCAGTTTTAAATACGGTTCTACTGTTTTACGAAGAGTTGCAACAGTTAATGGAACAGTAATAAAAAGACACAAATTTTAAAGTGGTTCGGATACAATTGTACCCTACATCCACGGGGACCTGCAAATGAAATTTACTAATTTTTAGTTTTACGAATACAATAATAGGACTTAATCGAAATGCAAAGACTCCCTCTTTGTCGACGCCGTTCTTGTATACTACGCTGAATTAACAATCTTCACTTTGCAGCACGTCCCTTGATCCGCACGGTTGAAATTCCTTCAACGCTGAGTCCCTCAGTCGGCGGGTCGACCTCCTCCCGAGATCTTCTGAGTTCTCCTCCCGAAGAACCGATCTTCTTTTCGCGTGAAAGAAGCAAATCTGTTACTCTGTTTTTCTTCTCGATTACGATCAAACACAAGAGCAGCAACGTGAAGAGCAGAAAATAAATTTTCTCTCAAATAAAAGGGACAACCTAAAATAACGTTGATGCTGCCCTTCTTATACTTCCTTAGGTGGATTAGTAGAGCCCTACACAAAAGTGGAGCCCATTAGGTTATTTTATCTCACGTAAGAAAAAGAGAGTTGTGTAAAACAAGGAAAGTCTTAGTCAATTAAATTCCTTGTTAATAAAACACTTAGGCAATTAAATAAATTAATGACAAAATAAGAGTTTAAAGAACTAAGGAAACTTCCCTAGTTTTTATACACGTTTTTCGCACACGTGTTGAAAAACCGAAATAGAATCCTCTCGGATTCTAACAATCTCCCCCTTTGTCATCTATTTATTTTAATCAAGTCCTCCCCCTTGATCAAATACCTGACAAAACATTAGACTGCATAATAGAGTAACTGTTAGAACAGTTAAAGGAAAAAGCAGTTAACGAAACAAGAAAAAAAAGTTAAGCCTAGCAGACTATTAGATGCCGTTGCTCAGAAAATCAATTCGACAACCACAAAAAAACTACTCCAGAATATATTCAGCATCAACGAACAACTCCTCATCATCATTCGTATCAACTTCAGCTGTTGTACCATCAACTGTTGGAACAGTTGGAGCAACAACAGTTCAGTAGTAGTTCCAGCAGCTGCATCAGCTCCCCCTGTATGCGGTTCCTCCTGGGTTGTTGATGCTTCGTTGTCAACTCCCCCTCAAGAATAATCTCCCCCTTTCTGAGCAAGGGCAGTAAAATAGTCGAGTTTCTTCTTCGTAAAAACGACCTCGAAAATCAGAGACCCCACTAGGTAGGTGGGCATAAAAAATCATGAACCACTTGACAGACGCCACCGGGTTTGATGCGCTCGGAGAAAGAACCGAGAATTAAAAGCATCGACAGTAGAGATAGGCACCACGGGATCCGGTGCAGAGTGACCAGCGGTGGTGCGAGTAGCGGAAGGCGAGGCAGGGTGAGTAACGCGTCGACGAGAGCGGCGAGGTGGCGGTGGTGCAGGTGAGTGGTGACGATTGGGCAGCCGGCGAGGGTGGCAGTGGAGGAGATGGTGGAGAATAGATGAACGGTGACGGCGGCGAGACTGGCGGCGACGGCGGTGGAGAAAATCTAGGGACCAAAACGAGTGGCAGATTGCCAAAATTGTCGAAGGAGGCGGCCGTGAGGAGAAGCGGGGGCTCCCAAAAAGCAAGGGGCACGGCATCACATGGCTCCCCAACGGCAGATCGACGACCGGAGCGGCGAGGCGGTGGTGGGTCCGCCCGAGACGTGGTCGTTGGGCGAGAAGCTCTCCTTTTCGACGATGAGGATGAACCGCCGATGTTCTTTCGTTTTCCCATGATGATTTTCTTAATTCCCTTTTTGATTTGATTGAAATTTTCTAGAAGTTGCTGCAAGGGAAGAAGAGGAAACAGCAAGGCAGTAGGGAAGAAGAAGCACAGAAATTTGGGGAGAAAACAAAACGTGAAGGAGGGATTATGCAATGATGACTGTTGGTCTTCTCATGGGTATTTTAACAATTTAGGAAGACTATAGTGAAGAAATTGCAAATATTATTCTGGCAACAATGAGTGCAATTTATGAAAAACTAAATTCAGGTACAGCAACTCTCAACCTTCACATATGAAGCCCAACACATTTCAAGAAAACTTCGAAAGGAAAAAAAATTCAGAACAGTAGGTTACTTCGAAGAAATATATTGCCGCCAAAAAATTACGAACCCACCCCGTTTTTTTTTTTTTTTTTTTTTTTTTTTTTTTTAAATAAGAAACTAAATGCCTAATCATGCAGAGCCAAATAATTAAGACAAAAAATAAACGTGAGAAGAAAAGAATATGAGTGAATAACCACAAGTGAATAGGATACTATTAGGACTATCAAAAACATGGGGTTTATCTTCAATTTTAACAAAAAGCAAGCTCCAAGAGATAGACTAAGGAGACTAACAGTAAACTTAGTATCCTCAAATCAAGCACAAAAACACTCTTATTAGGTAGCATACACACACTACCAATGGTAGCTTTTTCATGAAAAGCAGAACAATTAAGATAGCGAGATAGTTATAGTCGTGCAATGTGTAGTCCCCTGGGCTTTCTAATTGAGTCGTATAGTGAGTGTTCGGTCATGTGGTTTACCGGCTCGACTCAAAAAGGCTTCGAACTATTCACTGACCACATATAAAATTTATAATGGTCGTGCAATGTGTAGTCCCTTGGGCTTTCTAATTGAGCCCTGTAGCGAGCTTTCGGCCACGTGATTTACTGACTCAACTCAAAAAGGCTTCGAACTATTCACAGACCAATTGATTGACATTATATATATAGAATTTACGAAAATTCAAGAGTAGCTTTCACTCATTTGGAGCGGCAGCTTTTCCTTAAGAGAGTGTTCAACCATGACAGGAATGTGAAGGGTAGTAAATAAGCTAAAGCCTCTGTAGCTATCATTTGGGGATTGATGAAGTTCTACCTCACAAAATTTGAAAGTACAGATAGTATCCAATACACAAGAGGTCTCATCACATGCAGTATGTCTAATGCATAACCTAGATGAACAAAATGCAGTATGCGTGATGTGTCCATAAAACTTTTAAAA